GCCGCATTTCTGCATCCCAAGACCGTTCTTGACCCACCGCGACAGCCGCCAGTATCAGCTTCGCGGCCTCGGCTCATATCACAAGTTTCTTAACAGATTTCTATCGTTTTTTGCCGGAAGGTCCGTCGGTGTCGGTATCGGTGGCCCTGACTACTCTGCCGTTACAGCGAGCTCAGCGGCCCGAGCGCCTGGAGGTAGTCAGTCCCGCTACGCGTCCTCGCCCGCCGGGCCGGCCTACGCCTCGGGCGCCTGCCTCGCAGCCGGGCCTCGGGCCTCCGCAGCACTGACCGGCTTTGACCGTCTTCCCCCTCTCGAAATTAAGTTGGTATTTATTTATGCCAATCTACGTGTCTTCGCATTTTTTAAAATTTTTCTAAAAGAAATAAACGTTAACGAGAAACGACAACATTATTTGGAATTAAATGAGTTTCATCTATTCCACCGTATGTTCTTCGGCGTTCTTGGCTTGACCCATCACCTAGTGAGGGTCTTGGACAGCGATATTTACTCGACTTCGGAGGTCGCATTTTCTGATTGTGTAGCTACTCCATCAGTGCCCTCAAGTGAAGTACACAGAGTATTCCAGAATGCCCACTAAATACTCACGCCTATACTCGCCATTATCTGCACATACCCCTGACCGCCCCTCATCGCAGTTCTCAAATACTCTTGTACGATAAGAGTGAAGTGTGATTTTGGGAGATGGAAACAGGGAGGGGGTGGCGGTGGCGGAGGTGTAAGTCGAAGAAAGGGAAAGTGGCGGAGAGAGAGATGGGCCCGGCGGGTGAGGGTCGGGTCGGCTCACACGCCTGCGCCCCGTTGCGTGGGGCTGTGAATCCCGAGCACATCAAACTACAGTTTGAGTCAGTTTGGCAACTGCCTTTTTTCCCCCCTCCTGCCCCACGCCCACCCGCCTCTCCCCTCACTCTCCCCGCCGCGCTCCGCCCTGCCAAAGGGGCGGTGCCCATTCCTCTCAGCTGCACATTTGTCACTTAGCTTCACGGGAAGGAGCTTCCCTTCCGTTGTTCCCGCCCTGCCCCGCACCGCGTCTATGTGGACTCCAGCCCGCTTTAACATGGCCGAGCCGGATGCGGACTCTTGCGCGGACATTTCTCCGCCCGGGAGGTTGGGGGTGTTCCCTCGGTGTTCCTACTGGTGTTCCTTTCCTGCCGACCGGGCGGCGCTGGGGGCACGTCTCGTGTCTGAATACGGCCAGTGCAGCTGTAGCCCACCCTTTGCTCACCCCCACCCCGCGAAGCGGCAGGCGGTGTTCCAGTGCTGACGGCGTTCCTCTTGGTGTTCTTGCCCTGCCCTCCATCCTTACGAAACGGTGCCTGCATTCAGCCTCTCGAGCTCGGGGTGCAG